AAAAAAAAATAAAAATATATCAAATGCAAAATAGCAGGAAGAAGAAATAACCTTGCATTTTTAAGGAAAAAGTTAAAAACTAGAAAACCAGGGGTGTGATGCTTCGAATTTTTTGATAGAAATTATTTTTAACGTAAAAGTTTATATCCAGCCAAAGTATCAATCATGTAAGTTCAAGGGTAGCAAAAAGATATTTCAGACACATGAAGTCTGCTTCCTTTAGAAGCCACTAGAAGACGGGTTCCACTAAAAGAGGAAGTAAACCATAAAAGAGGAAGAATGAGAACTAGGAAACAGGACAGTTTTACATTCCCAGGATGACAACAGGGCAAGTGCCAGGACCACAGCTGTGTAGCAGACCTAGAAAGCCACCAGACCAGGCTGGAGGAGGGCACCAGGCCATGAGGGAGTTTGTGTATGGGGATGGTATCTCCAAGAAAATGTTAGAATGTATAAATTATCTCATAGATTTGCTCTAGGGGAAATTTTTATAGAGAGATATTTTACAAATTTTCAATATTAAGCAAGATTTTAAAAGGTAATCAGGAAAAAGAGAAAGCTACCTAAGAATGAAACTATAATCACAGAGATCTACCTGACTTAGAAGTAAACATTATTGGGACCAGCAATGGCATAATGGTTATATCGCTGGACTCCTATGTAGGAAACCATGGTCAAATCCCAGACTCAGTGGCTTAAAACTCATGCTGGGCTCATGTACATGTGTGCCCAAGTCCTGGGAGGAGAATGGAGAAGAAGGGATTGTGATGTAACCATCCCTCCTTAGGGTGATTTCTCACTCTCTGTCTCTCTCTCTCTCTGGTGAGCACACTCTCCCTATAACAAATCTCCCTATAACAAATCTCTCTAAAAAACAAAGAAACAAACAGAAAAAGAAGTAAACACTGTTTCAATAATGAAAACAAAAACTACAAATTTTTTTTTTTTTTTTGGAGAGATTTTCACTGTAGGGCGCGTGCGCTCGCCAGACAGACAGAGAGAGACATAGAGACAGAAAGCGAGAAATCACCCCCCAGGGAGGATGGTCATGCCGCAATCCCTTCTCCTCCATTCTCCTCTCGGGATCTTGGGCACGCATGCACACACGCCCGGCGTGAGTTTTAAGCCACCGGTCCGGGACACGAACCGCGGTCGACTACGTGGGAGTCCAGCGACATAGCCATTACACTAACTGCTGGTTCCCGAAAAAAAACTACAAATTTTAAAGTGAGTTGTAATTTTATTAGGAAAATAAAGAGAGGTAACTAATAAAAATCTTCTATCAGTATGGGAAGACAACAGGTGCTATTAAAAGTTGATGAGTTGGGGGCCAGCAGGTAGTGTGGTTGTTAAAGTGCTCAACTCCTACACTGACCACACTTAGCTGACCACACTTCAAGGCCTGGACCTGGCAGCTTGAAATTTATGCCAGGCAATGTGTGTGTGTGTGCCTAAAATCCCACAAGCAGAATGGAAGAGAAGGGACTGAGGCATGGCTTTCCCTCCCACCCCGAGGGAGGGTGAATTCTCACTTTCCTTCTCACTGTCTTGTTCTATCCCTCTCTGCCAAGTACACACACACTATGGAATAAAACCAAACAAACAAACAAAAATGATGAGTTGACAACAATATAGGCATTTTAGTTACGAATAAGAAAGTAAACCTCAGAAGAAAGATCTGCCTTGGTTTAATATTGTTACCTCTGAGCATGGCAAAGCTAGTTTCCAGGTCTCTCAATGAGGGATGATTATTTCTTGTGATAAACTTTTTAGCATTGTCTAACTTTGAAAACTATTTTAATTTGTGCATAAAAATTAAAATGTCATTTAAAAAATTAAATTTATTCCTTAAACTAGCTCAAAGTCTCAGAAGTATAATTTTTCATTCTCTTAAGATTGATTTTACAGGGGCCAGTAGGTGGCATGGTGGTTAAGGGTGCTGGATTCCCACATGGCTGACCGTGGTTCAAGACCCAGACCTGGCAGCTTACTTTCTCACTTTGGCTCTCTCTCTTACTCTGTCCCTCTCTGGTCAAACGAAAATAAGTAAATAAATAAATAAAGTTAAATAAAATAATTCTTTTTTTAAAAAAATATTGATTTTAAAATAAAATACTGAGCTCTATTACTTCATCTTCTGTACTAATTTATCCCAGTTTTTTGAGCCCACATCAGTTAACAGATATATTCTAGTTGAATATATTTGTACTCAATTATAATTTAAAAATCTATAAGCCTATTCTAGATTATCTGGATAGTCACTGTGCAGCAGTCACTTTGATACCTTCACTAAACACATGCATGCCCTACATGCCTTAACTACCATGCCACCAGGTGGCCCAAAGTTGTGCTTTCTTCTCTTACCCACTCACCACCTTGATGATCAAATGATTCATAAACAGCTTCACTGTCTTCATCACTGAACTTTATCCTGACATCTACGTGGGGGGTGTCCTCATCTACAATATAGCTTATGTCTACCCTGAATAAGGGGTAGGAAAAGTAGGATATTTCAGTTTCCTTTTACCACTAAAACAATTTAAAAATTCAGTGGCTTCAAAACAACACAAATTTGGCCCAGCTGCAGTGACTGGGTTCAATTCCTGGTCAATTTAAAGGCTGGGTGTACTGGTTTGTACTTGGAATCCTAGTGACCTGGAAAGACAGAGGCAGGAGGATCTCAGGCTCAAGGCCAGCCTGGGTAACATAGCAAGACCTGCCTGAAAAGAAAAGCAGCAAGCCATAGAGCATGTTTGTCATCCCTGCTGGGAAGCTGAAGCAGGGAGCCTGAGGCAGGAGCATGGTGATATAGTGAGACCTTGTTTTAAACATACACACATACACATACACACACGCACTCATAATTTTACAGTTCTAGAGGCAGAAATCCAAAATGAGTTTTGCTAGGCTAAAATGAATAACCAGTGTGTCTGTAAGACTGTATTTTTCTGGTGGCTCTGGAACAGAATTTTGTTGCTTGCCTTTCAAACTTCTAGAGCTTCCTACATTCCTTGGTTTGTGGGCTTACCTCACTCTAACCTCCACTTCTATCATCAAATCTTCTTTTCTGGCTCCAATCCTCCTGTTTTGTTCTCATTTACAAGGACCCTTGTGATTATCTTGAGCCCAGCTGATTATCCACGACAGTCTCCCATCTCAGACACCTTAATCTCATCCACAAAACCCCTCCTGCCCTGTAAAAGAACAGAGTCACGGGTCCCAGGAATCAGGACATGGACATGTTTGGAGTGGCATTAGTCTGCCTATCTCATAAGGTGCCACTGTGACTAAACTGTCTGAGAGCGGAAACTCAAATAGAAGAATCTGCTTTGGAAAGGCATAGAAACACATTTTCTAAAAACAGACAGAAAGGGAGAATGGATTGGTAAATTAAAAGTGAGGCATTTTAAGGTTAATGAAAAGGAGGCTGTTCTGAGGAGGATTAAGAAGTAAGTGGGAGTGGGGGGGGGTTGAAGAAGATGAAAAAGCAACTGTAGGAAGTGGGACAGCACCAACAGGGCACCAGCGTGGACTGCTCTCTTCAGGCCTTCTCTGAGGTCAGAACACCGTTACCTAAGGAAGACTGTGATCCGAGGTCATGCCGGTTACTATGCATGAGATTACACTAAACTCAGTTCCAAAATAGCCCTCTATATTTTTATTTCAGACTTTGCAAACCAACCAATGGCAAAAGAATGAAAGTGGTTCTACCACCTGCTTTTTGTCATGCCACTGTTTGGTTTTGTTTTTGTTTTTTTTCCCCATGATTCCTATGAGAAAGCTGACACTAATTAGGTTAACTCAAGAAGAAAAAAATAGAAGATGAATCATAAACCACACTGGAAATAAAAGAAGAAATAAGAAAAACTGATCTCTGCCCAAAAAAACAATGGTGAAAAACTGCATTCATAAAAGTCTACAGACTCGGAGTTTAAATTTTTAGTAGGAGAGTCTGATCAGATCTGGCAACTGCGTCTCTTTTCTGAGCTATTTCTCCTGTGACAGCCATGAAGCTTGGGCGTATTTTTCTCTTGCTGTGTCATGTGTTGTTCCCTTCCCCACCCCCACCTGCTCCCGCCTGCAGCCTCCATCAGTGTCTGTAGTGTGTGTGTGTGTGTGTGTGTGTGTGTGTGTGTGTATTTGGTTTCTCTCGTCCTTGTGAGAACACAGCCAGCCCGCCTTCTGCTGTGGCGGCTGCTCTGACTTGCTTTTTGCTGCCTCTTTTCTCTTCTTTCTCTTCTTGCTTAGCTCCTTGCCTTCTGGTAAGTATGACAAACACTCCCCCCAAGCCTTGCAGAAGACGTGGGGTGTGGTTTGTGGTGTTCAAGGCTTGCGACGTTTGAGATTGCCAGTGAGCTGTTGAAGAACTTTCCATTGTTGTACTTATCATTAAAATGTGTTGCTCGGGAAGGGATGTGTGTGATGGTCTGCTGGGACTGCCAGTACAAGTGGAAAACTGTCTCAGAGCAAAGGGGAAAGGCAACAAAGTTTACATAAAGAGAAAAATTTAGAAAAAAAGTTCTTTGCTGTAAAATTAATATAAACGGGACCGTTTAAATGTAACAGAATTCTTTGGCCTTGTTCTTTTTCCGTTTGTTGATTTGTCTTGAGGGTACTTTTAGGAACTGAGTTGTCCTGAGGTTTACAGTGACTCAGTTATTCTGTTGTCAAGTTAAATGTGGAACAGGAGTTTAAATGATATTCAAGGAATTAAGTATAAAAGACACCAATGACTATCTCATATGAATGAAGAATAAATCAAATACGAACAAAACATTTGCTTTAGAAGAACTACACATGTAAAACTCTATACAGTTGATTTTTAATTAATTGTTTAAAGTTTGATTTACTTTAGATTATGTTTTATACTAACAGTCTCCCAAGCACTTCAAAATTCACACATGAATTTAAAACGGTAAATGTTTACTGTTTTCAATTTGATGTTAAAATTATTTTCTTGATTTTCAAGGATGAAATGCTAAATACCAGGACTCACTTTAGAAGGGCTTAAAATAACTTCTGGCCGGACAGCAGGTGCCACGTGTCCCTCTCTGAGTTGAGGGGGCCAAAAGTTAAATATAGATGAATGTGTCTGATGAGCAGAGGTCAGTATAAAGACATTCCAGTGATGGAGACAGTGGAGCTGTTTACTTCATTATTTGAAAATTGAGTTGGCGAATTCAAATTGGCGAAAACCAAAAGTACTTCCCTTTAAGGTAATGAGTACTTGGTGAGCACCACAGGTGGGTGACAATGTCTGTTCTGTGAATTTTCCATTCTCGATGGTGTTCAAGTATTTGACATCTATTGCCCTGAGAACAGGAGGAGGAGGCCGAGCAGTTAGTAGAACAGTATGTTTTTGTTTTCACTTTCATACCACTGTCAGTGTAAAACCTGTGAACTGTGAGGATCTTGCTGTATTTACTACTGTTAACTAGCCGTATCACCATCGAATATCTCTTACAAGTTAAATATACCAAAACTTAAAGGCTTAAGCCAAATCTATTGAAACCCTAGAAGAGATAATAACCAGAAACCTTAGAATCTTTTATTTAACTCAGTCTTTGTTCCCTATTCCCTAAAAGCCCATATCATATCTGAATTATCCTAGTACATTCCCTCTCTGTTTATAAAACATTGCTATATTTGAAAAATTATTAAATTTCTCTGAGCTTCTGGACATAGAAGAGAAAGTTGCAATGTGTTTCCTTCTAAAAGGTCAGTTTTTATACTACAATAAAAGAGTATTATGGAAATTTAAGGAATTGTTGTAATAAGCATCCCCATGTTTCCATACTATTAATAGTTGTTATTTATCCTTTCCTTCATTCCCTACCTTATTGCAAAAAATAATGCTGGTTTGAACCTTAGAAAAAGTATTCTGTGTGGGGAACCAGCAGGTGGCATGGTGGTTAAGGCGCTGATTACTCCCACATGGCTAACTACGGTTTGAGTCTCAGACCTGAATGGCTTGCTTTCTCAATGTTCCTCTCTCCCTCTCTGGTCAAATTAAAATAAATGAATGAACAAATAAAATTAAAATTAATTAAAAAAAAAAAAAGTATTCTGTGGATTAATAATTACATGTTGCCCAACTGGGGGGGGGGGGGGAGAAAAAAAAAAAAAAATCGGGGGGGGGGGGGAACAGAAAAGCAAGAAATGTATCTTGTATCAGTATAATAATGTATTTGCATCAAAGTATTTATACCAATCAAATATAATGTAGAGATCAAATTAGAATTTAGGAGTACTAAAATTATAGATTATTTTAATAAATTCAGCAGCTCTTGTATTAAACATGTTAATAGAAAAAAAATGAACACTATTTTCATTTTAAACATTTTAAGTGTATATATTGCCTCTAACAATTGTGAATCTATATAGAATTATATAATAATACACAAATTGACTAGCCTAAGCAAGATGACAAATACAGTCACTGAAAATAATAGCATGAATTACTATGTTAATGTCAATAATGAAAAGATGTTACCAAAATTTAAAGATTAAAACCAAAAATATATTAGTAGCATGACTTGATAATGGAAAGAAGGCCCCTACTGTTCCTGCTTTACCAATTGTAATATCAGTGATTTCTCCAAGTAAATTTCATCCTATGTTAAAAACCATAATTAACTGCTATTCATTGGGGGCTATCCTTACCACTGATAAGTAACTAGGTCAACTACATAAAGCCTAACTGTGTTTATCACTAGATACGACCATCAATATGGAGACTAACCACTCTGAACAGCTCTCAGCTGAACAACCAGCACCTCCAGGAGACAGTCCATCATTACCCAGTCCAAGTAGCCTGCAGAAGTCAGATGCTCAGGATTCTCCAACCCCACTCCAAGCACCAGAGAGAGAGGCAAGTATGCACACTGAAAAGGGAGTTCGTGATATCTCTGAAGAGTTGAATCGACAACTGGAAGACATCATAAGCACATACGGGTCTGCTGCCAGTACAGTAGGGAA